AGCTAGTCCTCTTCCCCAAGGAAGAATTTATTGAAGACTATAATAACAGGAGTGAGACTGAACACAACTCCAGATACAGTCAACAAAGACAGAGGGAGATGTTACTAATATGAACTTGGTTAGGTGGAGGTCGGGGGAATTCAGTTCTTTGTTAAAACAGGACTCAGGAGACCGGCGCTGTGGCGCAGTGGCCCTGCAGCCCTGGCCTGAAGCACCAGCATCCCATATGGGCCCTGGTTCTAGTCCCAGCTGCTCCTCTTCCAATTCAGCTCTCTGCTATGGTCTGGGAGAGCAGTGAAAGATAGCCCAAGCCCTTGGGCCCCTGCGCCCACATGGTAGACCCAGAGGAAGCTCCTGGCTCCTGGCCTCGGATCATCTCAGCTCTGACCGTTGCAGCAATCTGGGGAGTGAACCAGCAGATGGAAGACCTCTCTCTCTGTCTCTACCTCTCTCTGTAGCTCTTTCAAATAAATAAAATAAATCTTAAAAAAAAAAACACACACACACACACACACAGGATTTGCAGTCCAAGCTCTAGTCAAAAACAAGACTCCTGGGTTCTTTGTCACTGCCACAAAAATCTTTCTCCAATGGTTACCTCTAAGAAACAGACCAGAATTGGGGATGTTATCAATTACAACTTTACCTTTAATTCCTATACTTTATTTTAAAAAAAAAGATTTATTTATTTATTTGAAAGTCGGAGTTACACAGAGAAGGAGAGGCAGAGAGAGACAGAGACAGACACAGAGACAGAGAGAGGTCTTCCATCTGCTGGTTTACTCCCCAATTGGCTGCAGCGCCCAGAGCTGCACTGATCCGAAGCCAGGAGCCAGGAGCTTCTTCCAGGTCTCCCATGCAGGTGCAGGGGTCCAAGGACTTGGGCCACCTTCTACTGCCTTCCCAGCCCATAGCAGAAGAGCTGGATCACAAGCAGAGCAGCCAGATCTTGAACCGGTGACCATATGAGATGCTGGCACTGCAGGCAGCGGCTTTTCCCACTATACCACAGTGCTAGCCCTCCTATAGTTTAATATTCTATGAGAGGAATTAATTCCTGTATAATGTCTAATCAAACAACATTTAAAAATCTAGCACTGGTGGCCGGCGCCGCGGCTCACTAGGCTAATCCTCCGCCTAGCGGCGCCGGCACACCGGGTTCTAGTCCCAGTCGGGGCGCCGGATTCTGTCCCGGTTGCCCCTCTTCCAGGCCAGCTCTCTGCTGTGGCCAGGGAGTGCAGTGGAGGATGGCCCAAGTCCTTGGGCTCCTGCACCCACGTGGGAGACCAGAAGAGACTTCAAGCTCCTGGATCAGCTCAGCTCTGGCCATTGCAGCCATTTGAGGACTCAACCAGCTGTTGGAAGACCAATCTTTCTCTGTCTATATCTCTCTTTGTAACTCTTCCAAATAAATAAAATACATCTTTATTTTAAAAAAACAAACTAGCACCCGGGGCCAGCATTTGGCATAGCAGGTAAAAGCTGTCACCTGCACTGCTGGCATCCCATATGGGCACTGGTTCATGTCCCAGCTGCTCCACTTCCGATCCAGCTCCCTGCTGATGGCCTGGGAAAAGCAGCAGCAGATGACCCAAATGCGTGGGTCCATGTTACCCAAGTAAGAGCTGGATTAAGTTCCTGGCTTCCGCCTAGCCCAGCGCTGGTGGCTGTAGCCACCTGGGCAGATAATCAGAGGGTGAAAAATCTCTCTTCTATGTCTCTACCTCTGTCACTCTTCAATCCCTTCAAAATACATCAAGGAAACTTAAAAAAAAAAATACTAGCACCTTCCATGCTAGAACTGATTGAATTATCTTTTGTGGTTGGCCTGTCCCAGTTAAGGTTCATAGTGATAAAAGGCCAAGTGGTACTATTTTTGGACTATTCTTGTTGATAAGAAATTCACAATTCTTTCACCCTCTCACCGCTACTCCATTCCACCGTTGCTCAGCGTATTCCTTTCTCTGGCCTTACAACAAAATACTCACTGATGGAAGGAGTGAGGATCGTCCACATCATGGCCATCTGGGGCCAAAGGATTGGAGAACGGCTCGCCTATCGAAAAGAATTGACATTAATTTAATTTCATGCGTCAGGTCCTGTGTCAAAATGGGAATGCAGTGGTGAAGAACACAGCAGAAACCTAAGAACAGCGATGGCGTCAATATAATGTACTAAGTCCTGACATGGGGGAAGCTGTGGTAACGCAGAGCGGCCCCTAAACCCGCGCTGGCTGGTCAACAAAGGTTTCCTGAAGATCACATCTAAAATACTACGTGAAAAAGGAGGCTGGCGCCCCGGCTCACTAGGCTAATCCTCCACCTTGCGGCACACCGGTTCTAGTCCCGGTCAGGCCACCGAATTCTGTCCCGGTTGCCCCTCTTCCAGGCCAGCTCTCTGCTGTGGCCCGGGAAGGCAGTGGAGAATGGCCCAAGTGCTTGGGCCCTGCACCCCATGGGAGACCAGGAGAAGCACCTGGCTCCTGCCGTGAGATCAGCGCGGTGCGCCAGCCGCAGCGCGCTGGCTGCAGCGGCCATTGGAGGGTGAACCAACGGCAAAGGAAGACCTTTCTCTCTGTCTCTCTCTCACTGTCCACTCTGCCTGTCAAAAAAAAAAAGAACAGACACAACCTAGGAGTAAATAAGGGGGCGGGGGAGGAAGGAGGGGCCACAGCCACAAGCTGTTCGTCCTCTCTGGGGGCAGCAACCAGGCTTGAGAACGGAGTCTGCAGCTGCTCAAAAGGCCCAAGAGCTTCGCTGGGCTGCAAGCCTCACATACACACCATCAAGCTCAGCAGCCGAGGTAAAGCGCCAAGTGCCCCGAGTCCCGCAGGGAAAAAAGGACAGATGACCCGAACTTACTATCTCGCTCCGGCATCTTGTCTCCTGCGTTTCAACGACAGCAAGAGCCTAATTTCCAACAACAACACCGTCGCAACAAGCCCTTCCCACAGTGCACCTCGGAAATGAACCCACAGTGCTTTGTGTTCCGAGCCTTTCCGCTTCCTCCCTCTCGAATCCGTCCCACCCTGCGCACAGAGATGACCTCACTGCGGCCCTACAACGCTTTTTTGTCATTGGCTAAACCTTTACCCCGCCCTCTACATCGCCCAATCGATGGCGGAGGTTGGGGAGTCCGCTATTGGTCCGACTAGAGAACTTGGCCGGAAGTACCTGCCTTGGGGGGCTTCAGTAGCAGCGGAGATGGCGGCAGCCGCAGCGACCCGAGGGGTCGGGGCAAAACTGGGGCTGCGTGAGATTCGCATCCACTTATGTCAGCGCTCGCCCGGGAGCCAGGGCGTCAGGTGAGGCGTGGCGTGGTGAGGCAAGCAGGCGGGCGGGCTTCGGGACGCCGGGGTCACGACCTCGACCTCCCAGTGTTTGGGCAGGACTGTGCCCACAGCACGCGCGGCGCTCTCCCGGCCCCACAGGGACTTCATCGAGAAACGCTACGTGGAGCTGAAGAAGGCAAACCCCGACCTGCCCATCCTAATCCGTGAATGCTCCGACGTGCAGCCCAAACTGTGGGCCCGTTACGGTGAGCGCGGGATGCCGGGGGTAAAAAAAGAGAAGGGGCCGCCCAGAGTGAGGCAGAAACCTGCGAAGAGACAGGAACTCGGACTCTGGCCTTGCTGTTGACCTTGTTGCCAGTGAGGGAATTGAAATTCGCAGGGTTCATGTGATGCTCTGTAGCCTAGACAACATCCACTTGGACGTGGTCGAGGCCTGCGCGGGGACCAGGAGCTGTCATTTCTGTGGTTCAGAGCCGACTTCAGATAGGAGACGCTCAGCGGTGTAGGGCCTTCCCAACTGCGTGTGGCCGGTGCCGCTCCAAGTGGTGTGAGCGTCCCCGTGACGTTGGACGCGTAATGCCATCCATCCCTGTGCTGAGTGGCTTCTACCTAACTTAAGGCTCACTTTAGTTCGTTAATCACGAGGGGATTTTTTTCTTATTGCAGAGATTGGAAACCGAATCAGAACTGTCCAGAGCACAGCTAAAGCTCTGCAGCTAGGATAGAACGTGGTAGATGCGTTACCTTTGTTCCTTTTTCCGGGAACGCACTAGGTCTCCATGACTGGCCCCTTGTTAGGTTGTTGTGATTTGGGTTGGATGGATGTATTACCACCTTAAAAAGGCATTCCCTGCCCATGTTATATTGCTCCAGCCCCTTATCGTATTACCCCATTCTAGTTTATTGCAATCTGGAAATTTCTTAGCATGTTGCCTAATACATAGTAGTTATGCAGTATTTATGTGAACTGAATCGTGGGATTTTAATCATAGCTTGTAACTCCACCCCGCCCTAGGGATGTCATGTGCTGGGGGAGAGGCAGATTTGTTCTTACTGTAGTGTGCCATGCACTAATAATTGAAGGGAAAAAAGTTCACATTCCAAAAGTCAGTATAGAGACAGAGAGACTAGTATATTATGCTAGTGAAGAATGGGTGCCCAGCCAAGGCTGGGCCTACACAGTACACTGCTCATGGTAGTTAAAAATAAACATCTACAGTGTCCCTTTAAAGCCTCCCTGGAACACTTTCAGTCTCATCGTGGCTGCCCAGAATCAGCCAAGATTGTATTTGAAACTGGGCTTCCTGAGTTTGGGACCCACTGGATTAATCCCAGTCATACCCACTCTCCCTTGGTCATGTTCCTTTACCACTCTTCCCATCCTAACAAGATCGTAAGATAGAGACTTTTATGCTTGTGCACAGTTGACTCTTCAAGCCACTTCTCTATCTCCCCTACACAGCATTTGGCCAAGAGAAGAATGTCTCTTTGAACAACTTCAGTGCTGATCAGGTAACCAGAGCCCTGGAGAATGTGCTAAGTGGCAAGGCCTGAAACTGCCAGAGGAAGAGCCCCAGAACTTGGGCTCTACTGGACTGAGTACAGGATGGAAAACCGTGTTCTGTATAAAGTTGTGCTATGAAATGCTCAGAGTGTTCTTGTCCTCTCTCGACCCTCTAGCCCATTTTGTGCAACCAAGGCAAAACAGTTTAATATAAAAATAAAACTTTATTGTTTCTCACCAAAAGCCATCAGCTGCTGAGGCAAATAAAGGTGGGGGAAATCCAGGGCCCCAAAATAAATAAGCCACACTGAGCTCCCTCTGGTCCTCCTGAATACACACTGCTGGGTCAAAGAGGAGCTGAATGCAGTCGTCTGTGCTTAGGTTCAGTGTGGGAACAGAGAGCATAAAACCTTGTTATCAACTGAAACACCCAAAGGCTCCAATTCTCTTAGAGAATAAGGGCACAGAAGCTGGTGGGGCTGGGGAGGCGAGGGTGGCTCTGAGAAGCCAGGTCACCCGTGAAGAGCCGTCTGCTGGAGAGCGTGGACACGAGCGCAAAGCTGGGCCTCCTCCCGATGCCTTTCCAGGGCCTGCAGTCCTGACTGCTGCAGAAAGGCTTCCGTGGCCTGTGGGCAGGGAAAAAAAGGATCCAGTGCTTGGGTTTCTGTGCCCTGATACTGGATTCCCACAGCTTCGTGGATTAGCCCACTTCCTGGAGGAGGGTACATCCCAAAGGTGGTTTAAAGGTTCTGCCGTGGAGGCCACACAGACTAGCCAAGCCCAGAGAAACAACTACAGTTAGGACAGGAAAGGAAAGGGACCATGGTAAGCCCTGAAGCTTCAGGGCAGGGCAACTGAGGACCATGGCCAGGAGCCTACTACCTTTGGCTGATACAGGAACAGCAGGTGCAGCAATTCCAAACTCTGACCTACTACTTCAGTGTCAGAGAAGGCCAGTATGTTCACCAGAGAGTGGAGCAGGGGCCCTGGCCACAGTCGCTGGCAGTAAGCAGGACCCTTCTCTGCAACATTGCATAGGACTGTGAGCACCTGCAGGTAGACATGAACAGTCCCCACAAAGATGAAAGCCAGCAGTGTCAGTGCCAGCTAAAACATACCAGGGTGCTTCAGAAGGTTTGTGGGAAATGGAACTAAGTTAATGTGGCGCGCTGGTGATGTAGCACAGTGGGTTACACCACTACTTGTGATGGCTGCCTCCTATGAGGGTGACAGTTCGAGTTCCAGCTGTTCCACTTCCAGTCCAGCTTCCTGCTAATATGCCTGGGATAGCAGCAGAAGATGGCCCAAGTTCTTGGGCCCCTGCACCCACATGGGAGATCCAGATGAAGCTCCTGACTCCTGACGTCAGCCTGGTCCAGCCCTGGCCATTGCAGCTACTTGGCGAGTAAACCAGCAGACAGATCTGTAACTCTGCCTTTCTAATAAACAAATCTTTAAAAAAATTAATTTTAGTGCAAAAACACTTTGAATCTACGCACATAAATAATTTTCAAAAACTTCATGGAAAATCTACATGGATTTCAAGTACTTGCCCCAAAATAAAAGATTTATTTTAAAGTCAGAGAGAGAGGTCTTCCATCCACTGGTTCACTCCACAATAGATCACAACACCCAAGACTGAGCCAGGAGCTTTTGAGGAGTGGGTGGCAAGGGCCCTAGTACTAGGGCCATCTTCAACTGCTTTTCGCAGGCTGTTATCAAGGAGCTGCATGATAACTAAAGCAGCCAGAACATGAGTGCCACCCTACGGAATGCTAGTGTCACAGGTAGTGACTTTCCACTACATCACAATGCTGGCCCCTTATCAATTTTTTTTTCTTAATCTTTATTTGAAAGGCAGAAAGAGAGCTCCCAACTGCTAGCTTACTCTCCAGATAACTACATAGCAGTTGCTGGGCCAGGCTGAAGCCAGGAACTGGGAACCCAAACCACTTCTTCCATGTAGGTGTCAGGAATCCAGCTACTTGAACCATCACCTGGTGCCTCCCAGGGTATGCATTAGCAGGAAGGTGAAACTGGGAACTGAGCTGGGACTTAATCCAGGCACTCCACTATGGGACATGCACATCTCACTGGCACGTTAACCATTAGCCCAAACGCCCACCCCAGCCTTATCTTATAATGCCGCTTTCCACAAACTCACCAGAGTACCTTTGTATTCAGTGCTGACCATATATATGCCCAGGCTCCATGCTAAGCTGTTATGTGTGCATGTTCTGTTACCCCCATATCTGCCTTCTGAGATAGGATTACTCTGTTATAAATGAGGTAGCTGTAGCGTCTGGTGGCTAGTTGACCTGCCCAAGGATAGTAACTAGTTATGCACAGCTTAGAGACTTGCTCACACCAGTTTGAACTTAAAGCCACACCACACTACCTGCCAGCTCAGCTAAGGGTATATATGGGGGCTCAGGACTGCTCTCCGTCTTGGACTCCATACATACCAGTACGCTCACCACATTAGATACTGGCAACAGCTGCAAGAGCGGCTCAATCAGATCCAGGGAGAGCAAGGAGGTACAGAAACTAGGACTGTGGGCTGGAAGGGAAAAATGTCGGTGTGAAGCCCCTGAAACTGGGACCTGAACCACTGCCTCCCCTAATCGGCCCCACCTCAGCATAGGTCGTGAGCAAGGCCCAGGCCTGGGCAGGTTCAGTGTGTACCAGTGAGGTTGTTGAGGAGCCAGAGGCCCTCGGGAAGCAGGCCGGGCTGTTTCTGGAAGAAGAACTGCAGAAGGACAAACAAGGCCACCACAACACGCTCATCTCTGAGCTGCATGTGCTCGGCCACAGCCTCCGCTGCCGCCTCCGTCAGCAGGTTGCTTAGACACCGCAGCACAGGACACGCCAGCTGCAAAGACAGTAAGTGTTGAGGGAGGAAGGGCGAAGTACAAAGCAACATCTTCCCAGACTCCGACCTGCCCTTTTCACCTACCAGCTCCAGTCCCGCATTCTCAGGTCTCTGGACAGCCCCAGCCAACTCCAGCAGCAGCAGCCCCAGAGTAGAGAGAGCCCCATGAGCGATAAGCAGGGCGTTGTTGACCTGGCTAGGCAACGGGAAGAAGCAGTCACCATCCAATCAGTCCCACCTTTAATCTGGAGAACAGCCTATGGCTGTGGATCTTGTGGGCAAAAGAGAGCAGCACATGGATATGAAAACAGACTACAGCAATATCTGAAACTGAAGTTCAAAGACCAAGGTGTCACAGAAGGGAGCCCTGGGAAAGGTCTCGAGCATTCTCCCAGTTGCCCTGTGTTACCTGCATATGAGGTAGTGAAGGCACCAGGAAAACTCCACAGCGACCCCAAGGTTCAGCTTTGGACCAGGTTGCAACAACTGCAGCATGTGCTGGGGGAGAGTGGAACCCAGGATAGAGCTGCCAGCAGAAGCAGAGCTATGAGCAGGACCCACAAAGATGCCAAACCCTAACAGCAAGTGGGAAAGTTCCCATACCCAAAGCCCTTGCTAGCCAGACACAAGGACCTGAAACAGGCAGCAACTCTGGGAGTCAGACTTCATCAGACATCCAGGGGCTACTGGGTGGGCCACTCTGGGCTACACATCTGGAGACATAACTTTACTTACGGAATGATCCTCTCTGGAGCTTCCTTAGCCTGCAGAAGCTGCGACAAGGCGTATCCAAGGGCTTCCAGCACAGCCACATGTGGGGACTGGAAGCAGACAGAGTAGGGATCTGACTCTGGAAGCTGGATCATAAGGTCTCCCGAAACTCTCAGCCCCAGGGCAAAGGCAGAGGCTGCAACTACCTAACCACAGCAAGCGGGAAGTGGAGAGGAGAGGAGTAAAAGTCGTCAAGGGAGAAAGGCACTCACCTGGATGCAGGTGGCCAAGGCCGGAACGATGCCCTGTGGCAGGAGTTGCCTTCTCACAGCCTCACTTTCCACGATCAGGTTACCCAGCGTATACAGACACAGCTCCTGAGAGGAGGGACAGAGGGTGCAGCAGCCCTCTCTTTGAGGCTTACGAGAAGGTGAGGAGACAGTAGCTGGATGCCCAGCTATGGGAATCGGGAGGAACAGGTTTTCTTCTGCACCCCAGCCCCCGCCACATGCCAACTCAAACTGGATCCAAAAGCCTAAAATGTTTAAATCTAAGCCAAGAACAAAGTAGGAGGGGACAGGGCTTACTATGAAGTCTGAGCTGTGACCGGAGAGGTAGGTGAGGAGGTAGGAAGTGGCCGGCAGGCAGGCCTCGGCCACCGCGGACTGCTCCGAGTGAGAGAGCTCATGCAGGCACCGAGCCGCCTCAAGCTGCAACAGGGCCCGGCTGCCGGTCAGCAGCCCGACTAGGGTCCGCATGCTGCCCTCCAGCCTGTGTGGGTGAGCACCAGAGCCCTGCTCAGCCTGGGGTCCATCCCTGCCACCTTTCCTGTCCCCTCAGAGCCCCAGCCATCCACTCACACCACCCACACGGACCGAATGAAGATTTGCTGTGTCTCAAGGTGCTGCAAGCCTCGACGGAGGCTGACCAGAGCCTTCTCTCTCTCCTTCTCCTCTGTCCCCCGCTGGGCTAGCCACAGGAACTGCTGCACCTGGAGAGCAGGGCAGGGAGAGAATTCAAGTCCTGGGTCGCTCTCTGCCCGCTTCACCTGCACGTCCTCCAGTGTCACACCATCCCGGAAGCTGTCCTTGACACTAACACAGCTGCTAGGTGCCAATTCACGGAGCGAGCAGTCAGGGAGAGGATCAGAACTGGGATCCAACACCAGCCCTGCCATTTACTCCACCAGGGACCTGCACCTCAGTTTTCTCACCTGAAAAGCAGGAATAACAACACCTACCCTGCATTCTTAGTGGGTTACTTCAAAGAAAACATTTGTACCTCTCAACCTGGCAAAACCTACGCCTCAGCCGATCCCAACGTGTGGTGCTGCTGGTTTGTAAACTACACATGCAAATGCAGGCAACACACACAAGGCATGCCCAGTGCTCACTGAATGAACAGACCCTTTCGTTTACTCAGTCAGTAAGCACTAACTATCTGCCGTATTCCAGATACTGTGCAGGTACCTGGGTTTTCAACGATGACAAATAAGGAGTTTAGATGTGGCAAGTGCAAAGGCCCTGAGGCAGGAAAGCGGTCGGTTTACTGAAAGGGGCTGGGATGAGTGTGGCAGAGGTTAGAACAAGCTGGGCTTTGCGGGGCACACCCAGGAATTTGGTCTCTATTTGTTTTTAAAAGACGTATGGGGGGCGGCAGCCATCCATGTGAGGTGACCTTTTAGGAGGCTGCTGTGGTATCCACAAAGAGCGGTGGCAGCTGTGACCGCGAGGCCACCTCCAGACTTCAGACTTCTAATGGCTAGGACCTGAATTGATCTGAGCCTGAGGGACAAGGCGGTAGGAGGATAAGTCACAGGCTCGGTCCTAACCCACTGGACGGATGGAGGCGTCAGGCGGCTCGCGTTCTGGACTGGGGCAGACCTCAGGCACCGGCGGGAGTCTGGCGTCAGGGGGCGTGGACTGCACCGCGCGCCCGCCCCGCAGCCTCACCTCGGCTTCCCCGAGGACGGCGGCCGCACAGCCCTCTCCGGCTTCCTCTGGGACGTCGTCTCTCAGCAGCCTCTTGCTGATCAGCTGCTGCTCCCTCCGCGCCTTCCGCAGCTCTGGCGGCAAAAGAACGGGCTGCGCGTGGGAGGGACGCCCAGGCCCCAGAGCCCGCTGCTCTGAGCCGGGAGTCCCCTCACCCTATCCGACCGCCACATCCCCTGTGCTCCTTCGCCCGCCCGCACCTGCCTCCCGCTCCCGCCGGCGGCAACGTAATTCCTCCACCCCGCAGACCACCGGCCTGAGACGGCCCTGCCGCCGCCTCCACATGGCGAAGCTGCGAGATATTTGCAGGGAACGCCAAGGCTGGGACTCCGCCTGGCGGCTTAGGAAATAGCAGCAACTGCGCAGCCGCAGAGTCGAGCGGAGAGGCGGGGCGAGCACGAGGGGGCGGGGCGGATCGCGACGGGGGCGGGGCTACGTTGGGGGCGGGGCTAGGGCCGGAGTCTGAGAGATCCTGCGGGAGCCCGCATGGGAGCAGGAGTCTCAATTTCCAGCCCTACGCTTCGGATTTCTCTCCTTACCGGTTCTGGGAATGAAAGTAACTCATCCGCGAACCCGGCCGCCGCAGGCAGGCATTGTCGCCGTCCACTCAGCAAACACAACCTCCCCACCCCCAACACGCGCTTCGGGACGAGCCGCGATGCCATTTCGCGAATAACGCGGCTCCCCGCCGGCGCCCGGCGTTAGCAGCTGACGCGCGCTGCGTCCTTGAATGTCTACCCCCATTTTGCGAGTGAGAAAAATGAGAAAAGCATCATTATTTATGTGCAGCTTGCTAAGTTGTGGACGAGGGTCAGCGAGCAGACACGGTACCGAGGCTGGAGTTGCATCAGCCGCTGATGTGGTGCGGTCGCGCCCCTACAAAGTTCTGGGAAAGGGAAAGCTCCCCAAGCGGCCTGTCACCGAGAAGGCTAGGTTCTTTCTGCCTGGCAATACTGTCAACCCTGCGAAAGCCAGTCCCAGGCATGTACTGTCTTCTGCAGTGCTGGCTGCCTCTGTCCAGAAGCCGTGTGAGTTTCTCTCTGCAAAAGTCCTATTGTCTGCGGACTGCATTTCTGGATCCATGTTTGCCTCCACGGCCTGGAGCACGTCAGGAGCTGCGGCTTAGTCACGTTTGCTTCCCAGGGCTTCACCCCAACCCTGACCCTTCATATATATTTGTTGAATTGAGGTGTGAATCCGGGATCTTTGCAGAACCAGCATCTCCCCTAGCGGCTTGGACCTGCCAGCCCAGAGTGCCTCCCCCAGAGTGATACGCTTTGGCGAGGAGCCGCGGTGACCTCAGTCCACTGAATGTGGAGGCTCTGAGAAGAACACTCAAGGCTCCCCTTAACAGATGCAGCTTTACTCACAGACAAGTGCTACTAATATCTCCATTTTACACGGAGGAAGCCCAGAAACTTGCCCAAGCCTCGCAATGTCAGAGGCAGAGCTGGAATTCCACATCTGCCTGTTGACTTCCGGGCCATGGTCATATCTTGGTCCTCCAGGGTGCCACAGTAACCTGGGCTGGCCTCAGGGCATAGCTCAGGATACCAGGACATGCCCAACAGGACACCCAGGGGGCAGTGTGTTCTGAGGCCTGCTTGTTTGGCTTAGAACCAGATGTGCAGCTCCTCCTCCATTAAAGGGGAAATGGAATTTAAGAGTTCCGTGTAGCTCTTTCCCCAGAAGTCTAGGGGTATAGACTTGTGAAGACTTGTTAATGGGAAGCACCAACACCCCTCTCCCACACAGCTGCTTTTTCTTGGTGAAATGAGAGATGTACTAATTCATCCTCATTCAGTGTGGGTCCAACCCTTCCTATCTAGGACACAGGAAATGTACTGGGCAGATGCAGGAGAAAGCAAGATGTATGTTGGAAGTTGTTTGATCCTTGTCAAACCCACCAACCATTTACCCCAAAAGCAGAGGTAAGAAGTGCCTCTACGACAAAGGTGTCCCAAACCATTCTGAGATGGGGCTGGTTGGGATTCTAAAGAAACAAGCACTAAGCAGCAGGGTGATGAGTCCAAAGCATTTGTTAGGTAAACTTGAAGAGTGAGCTTCAGGAGCCACTGTTGTGGCGCAGAGGGTTAAGCCACCACTTGCAATGCTGGCATCCCATATTGGAGTGCCAGTTTGAATTATGGCTACTCTGCCTCCGATACCACTCCCTGCTAATGCACTGGGAAAGAAGTGGATGAGCTTGGGCCCCAGCTGCCTGTGTGAGAGATCAGGGTGAAATTCCTGACTCCTTGCTTTAGCCTGGCCCAGATCTGGCTATAATAGTCATTTCGAGAGTGAACAAACAGAAGGAAGATCTCTCTCTCTCTCTCTCTCTCTCTCTGTCATGCTGCCTTTCAAATAAACAAAAAAAATTTTTTTTGGACAGGCAGAGTGGACAGTGAGAGAGAGAGAGAAACAGAGAGAAAGGTCTTCCTTTTGCTGTTGGTTCACCCTCCAATGGCCGCCGCAGCCGGCGTGCTGCGGCCGGCGCACCGCGCTGATCCAATGGCAGGAGCCAGGTACTTACCCTGGTCTCCCATGGGATGCAGGGCCCAAGTACTTGGGCCATCCTCCACTGCACTCCCTGGCCACAGCAGAGAGCTGGCCTGGAAGAGGGGCAACCGGGACAGAATCCGGCGCCCCGACCAGGACTAGAACCCGGTGTGCCGGCGCCGCAAGGCGGAGGATTAGCCTAGTGAGCCGCGGTGCCGGCCTCAAATAAACAAATCTTTAAAATGTGCTTCAGTATCCTCAAAACAAACTTGGAGAGAAAGTTAGGAAGACATACTGCCTATGTACATCTGCAACAAGGAGGGTCAGAACGTGGAGTTTCTGTGAGGGTTTAAGGAATTTGGCTCGGAGCAGGGGTTAGTTAGTTAGTTAGTTAGTTGAGGAACAAGCTAAACAGCTTTTATCAATGCCCAGGAATGTTTTTGGCCCCAGGTTGGATTCAAGCCTGCAGGAAAAAATAAAGCAGCTGGCCCAGTTCCAAAGTCATCAAAGCATTTCATGTTTCTCAATCAGGAAAAGAGAACCTTGCTTCATAATTTCAGGACAGGAAACGGATACTTGAAGTGATCCAGTGATTTTTTTGGATACTTGAAGTGATCCAGTGATTTGGCCAATGTGCCTGTTACACACCTCTACTTTTCAGAAAGTTACTTACTGAACCAAGGAACGCATAAGCAAAAACAGGAAGGGGAGTTGTTTTCAGACTCACTGCCTTCTCTTGAACCAATTCTACCCCTCGGAGTCCATAGATGAAGTTCACAGAGTGTTTCACAAAACATCCAGTTACCAGCTGAGCAGATTCAGCAGCTTACATTTGGGTGGCGGAAGGTTAATAGTCACCAAGACAGGAAAAAGTTGAAGGAAATGAATCGGGCTGAGTCGCCGGGACACAGGCAGGAGGGGGGCAGAGTCCCGGCCTACCACACTGGGGAACGCCCTCTGCCCACACGCACCAGGCGAGCTGGTGCACCTGCGTCATCAGGGCACTGATGGAGCCCCCACCTCCTCTCCCTGCAACATCAACATCCTTCATGGCAATATTTCCCAGAAGGGAAGTGGGGGGGTGGGGCAGGGAAGCAACCAGGGTTCACAGAAGAGGGAACAGGGTGACATCTCCGGATTACGTAAACTCTCAGAGGCTGCCAACAGTTGGGACAGATCGGTGTGTGGGGCCTGGAAGCCGGAGAGCGCAACTGTAACCGAGCACGCCAAAGCCCTTCCCAGAGACTTGGGCTGCAGAGGTCCTGAGGATCCATCAATTATGGTGAGTGGGCAGTCTCGGGACCCAGCAAGATCCCCTGGAGACCCCAGGGACCGGCTGGGGCCTCCCTGACCTCTGCTGTCTCTCCCAGGAGCCCGTGCCCTGCTTGTTGCTGCTGCTCCTGCCTCTGCTGCGCGCCTCTACGGACACGCCAGAGCCCTGCGAGCTAGACGACGACGACATCCGCTGTGTCTGCAACTTCTCGGATCCGCAGCCCGACTGGTCCAGCGCCTTACAATGCATGCCTGCCGTCCAGGTGGAGATGTGGGGCGGTGGGCACAGCCTGGAGCAGTTCCTGCGGCAAGCCGACCTCTACACCGACCAGCGGCGCTATGCTGACGTAGTCAAGGCTCTGCGCGTGCGGCGGCTCACCGTGGGAGCCGTCCAGGTTCCTGCTCCGCTGCTGCTGGGCGTCCTACGCGTGCTCGGGTACTCCCGCCTCAAGGAGCTGGCACTCGAGGACATAGAGGTAACTGGCACCGCGCCGCCGCCGCCGCCCCTAGAAGCCACCGGACCTGCGCTTTCCACCTTGAGCCTCCGCAACGTGTCGTGGCCGAAAGGGGGCGCCTGGCTCTCCGAACTGCAGCAGTGGCTCAAGCCCGGCCTCCAGGTACTGAACATTGCCCAAGCACACACGCTTGCCTTTTCCTGCGAACAGGTCCGCACCTTCTCCGCCCTCACCACCCTAGACCTATCTGAAAATCCTGGGCTGGGCGAGCGCGGGCTGGTTGCTGCTCTCTGTCCCCACAAGTTCCCGGCCCTCCAGGACTTAGCGCTACGGAACGCGGGAATGAAGACGCTCCAGGGCGTGTGCGCCGCGCTTGCTGAGGCTGGTGTGCAGCCCCATCACCTAGACCTCAGCCACAACTCGCTGCGCGCCGACACTCAAGGGTGCATCTGGCCCAGCGCGCTAAACTCCCTCAATCTATCATTTACTGGACTGCAGCAGGTGCCTAAGGGACTGCCTGCCAAGCTCAATGTGCTGGATCTCAGCTGCAACAAGCTGAATAGGGCCCCGCAGCCGGGCGAGCTCCCCAAGGTGGTTAACCTATCACTGGACGGAAATCCGTTCCTGGTCCCTGGAGCCTCCAAACTCCAAGAGGATCTGACGAACTCCGGCGTGTTCCCAGCATGTCCGCCTTCGCCCCTGGCGATGGGGATGTCTGGAACCTTGGCGCTGCTCCAAGGAGCACGGGGCTTTATCTAAGGACTAGCAAAGAATGACTGGGTTCCGATTGCCCTGGTTTCAGAGGAGCCTGGTTAGCACGTTCAGGACTTCTGGACCAACCCACCCCGCTTCCCACTTTATTAAAATCTTAAAAAATGGATCCGTGTCATTCACTCAACAGAACTTTACTGGTGTTTGTTATGTGCTGGACATAGTTCCAATCGGAGGAATTAATCATACTTACACTTTCTTCATCCTAACTCCCTAGAAAACCGACCAGCCTTCCAAAAGGAGTGCAGGTGCAGAGGATTGGGGCATGTACTCTGGCTAGGGCTGGGCTGCATGGGAGAAATACCCAGCTGTGTGGTCAGGGCTTTCCCAGAGGTTTACTGGCGCCTGAGAAAATGATGTTTGAATGGTAAACCTATCTTGGAAGATACACAGTTTCTTCTATGTACTGTCCAGGAGCCAGCAGTTCCCTTTCAAAGGCAATAAAACCCATAACCAACTGTTTTCTTCCCCTCTCTCACCCCTTAGCCCCCTCTGCCTCTCCCTCTCCTCGCCACACCCCCACCCCAGGAAAGGGGGGCCTCCTGTTCTACATAAGCGTCCTCTCCAGAAGTGCAAATCCCCTCTGCACCCACAGGTGCAGACTCACGGTGTTATTGCTCCTACATGATGGGAAATTTGGTACAGGAAGCAGATGTGAGATGCAGTCTATCTCTGAACCCAGATCTTCCATTCCTTTTCAACATTTTTGTTTATTTTCATTTTATTTGAAAGGCATCTGCTTGTTTACCCCTCAACTGCTGGCAACAGCTGGGGCCAACCCAGGTGGAAGTCAAGAGCCCAGAACTCAACACAAGTCTCTCAGATGGGTGGCAGGAACCTAGCACTTGTCCACATCCCATGTCAGGAGTGCTGTTTAAGTCCCAGCTTCCTAGCCAGGTTCCTGCTAATGCAGAAGCCTGGAACGCTTCCATTCTCTTTAATGTTAGGTTTAGGATATGGGTTCAAAGAAGGCTCACAGACTACTGGTCAAGGCAGAAAACATTTTTATTGCAGAAAGAATAGCAAGGTGAGGTCTGGAATAGGATTTCAGCCCACATGGACAGCGGGCAGGGGGTCTGAAGTAAGACATCAGCCCTCCCATGGAAACATGTGGAGGGTACTTTTAAGCTACTGTCACCATAGACTGTGATGGGTGAGGGAGAACAGGACATGCAGGAAAACTTATCAGTAACTGCTGACCAAAGCTATTCATTTATAATTCATTGTTCAGGTGGTTTGGAATGTCCCAGGTGGGGAGCTTGTAAAAGTGATTGCTGACACAGTGAATTTTACCAGATTTGGTGTTAACTATTTGTGCCCCACCACCTGACAGATCCTGACTTAGTACATATGTGGATAACCCTTTCAGGCTTGACTTTGACTTGCAAATAGGACATCTCAGACAACTTCAGCTTAAGCAGGATGTGCCCCCTGCACCACATTAACACAGAGACCCAGGATATCAAGCATTGAGAATGCTGTTCCTTCTGAATTCCTTCTTCATTACAATGAGGGGGCAAATACAGCAGAAAGCTACACACTTGCCTCACTCGGGACCGGAGAGAGGGGTGAGAGAATGCATAGAAGCCCAGAGCTCCTGCTTGCCTCTGACCTGCATCCATAGCCCAACAGGTAGGAATGGGGAATGGGGAGTGGATGGGGTGGAAATTAACATTGATGGGAGAGTTACAGAGGCCACCAGAATGAGACTCAAAGAATAGTGGAAGATCACAGAATTAGCTGGACACCCCACTGGAGTGTCCCCAGCAGACCTTCAGCCAGCCTGTTAAGAAATTTCTGGCAACAGAAAATCAGTCAGCTCGGGGCGCCTCGCCTTTTAATTGTTCTGATCGCACTTCATCAGTTACAGGACTTCCGCTCCACCAGGGACCCTGTGTTAGAGCCTGGTATACGGAGACAGAAACACATATGTCCTCAGGAACTCTCAATCCAGTAACATACGAAGACACACAAAAAATAGTCGTGATTCACTGAAACGAAGGAATTAACTCTATATAAGGGGAGGTAGTCGTATGAAAAACTTTTGCAGAAGATGAAACTTTAAAAAAAAAAAACATTTATTTATTTATTTGAAAGGCAGAGTCACAGAGGCAGAGGCAGAGAGATCTTCCATTCACTGGTTCACTCCCCAGATGGCCGCAATGGTCAGAGTTGGGCTTATCCGAAGCCAGGAACCTGCAGCTTCTTCCAGGTCTTCCACGTGGATTCAGGGGCCCAAGGACTTAGGACATCTTCTACTGCTTTCCCAGGCCATAACAGAGAGTTGGATCGGAAGTGGAGCAGCCAGGACTCCAACCAGTACCCATTTGGGATGCCAGCACTGCAGGCAGTGGCTTTACCTGTGACACCACAGCGCTGGCCCCAGAAGATGAAATTTTTAATCTGGGTCTTGAGCCATGAATAGCACCTGTTTGCCTAGGAAAGACATCCCAGGAAAAAACATGCAGCACATTCAAAGGCTTGGAAGCCTGAGAGTAGACGGCCAGACCCGGGAAGCTGACCTGGTTAGGTGTTGCTGGAGATCACAGTGCTGGGAGCTAGAAACACTGATGCATTCAATGCTTACTGTGTGTCAGGCACTGTGCTACACCTTGGGAATGTAGCAGGAATAAAGCAGGAATTCTGTTCATATGGAGTTCAGGTTCTAACTGGATGATGTATGTTATGGACTGAATGTTTGTGTCCCCCGAAAATTCATATGTTGAGGTCCCAACCAACAGCACAGCGGTATTTGGAGACAGAGCCTCTGAGGAAGTGACTTATGTTAAAAGAAGTCATAAAAGTAGGGCCCTGGGGTGGGTGTTTGGCCTGGAAGTTAAGATGCATCCCACAGGGGGCCAGCACTGTGGCGCAGTGGGCTAAGCCTCTGCCTGCAGCACCAGCATCCCATATGAGTGGCAGTTCTAGTCCTGGTTGCTCCTCTTCCAATCCAGCTCTCTACTATGGCCTGGGAAAGCAGTAGAAGATGGCCTAAGCGCTTGGACCCATGCACCCGAGTGGGAGACTGGAAGAGGCTTCAGGCTCCTGGCTTCAGATCTGCTCATCTCTGGCAATTGCAGCCATTTGGGGACTGAAGCAGCTGATGGAAGACCTCTCTCTTTCTCTGTCTCTCCCTCTCTCTGTTAACTCCACCTCTCAAATAAATAAATAAAATTCTTTGGTTCTCTCCGTCTCTCTCCTCATCCCCGTTTCTCCCCCTCTCCTTATCCCTCCTGAACTCTCTTTTTTCTTCACCCTCTCTATATCTCTGTTGATCTCTCTCTCTCAATCCCCCTCTGTCTGTCTGTCTCTCTTTTTAAAGATTTATTTATTTATTTGAAAGTTAGAGTTACACTCAGAGAGAAAGAGAGGCAGAGAAAGAGAGAGAGAGAGAGAGATATCTTCCATTTGCTGGTTCACTCCCCAAGTGCCTGCAACAGCTGAAGGTGTACCGATCTCAAGCCAGGAGCCAGGAGCTTCCTCCAGGTCTTCCCACACGGGTGCAAGGGCCCAAGGACTTGAGCCATCTTCTACTGCTTTCTCAGGCCATAGCAGAAAGCTATGAAGTAGAGCAGCCAGGACTCAAACTGGTGCCCATATGGGATGCCGGCACTGAAGGCAGTGGTTTTAGCTACTATGCCACAGCACCAGCCCAATCCCCTCTGTCTCTCTTCTTTGCCCTTTCCCTCCAGCCTGTCAGATTTCCCCCACCAATAAAAGTATAAATAAAAAATTAAAAAATTAAATAAAATCCTCGAAAAAAAAAAAACAGAGACCTGTTTAAATAAAATAAAATGAATCCCACATTGGAGTACCTGGGTTCAATTTCCAGTTCTGGCTCTTGACTCCAACTTCCTGGCAATGCAGACCCAGGGAGGTTGTGGTGTTGGTTCAAATGATTGGGTTTCTGCCACCTACATGGGAGACCTGGATGGTGTTCCTGGTTTTTTAATTTATTTGAAAGTCAGAGTTATACAGAGAAAGGAAGAAAGAGAGAGAAATCTTCCATCTGTTGGCTCACTCCCCCAAATGGGTGCAACAGCTAGGGCTGTGCCAGGCAAAAGCCAGCAGTCAGGAGCCTCTCCCAGATCTCCCATTGTGGGTTCAGGGAGCTGGATCAGAAGTAGAGCGGCTGGGACTCCAACTGATGTAAATATTGGATGTTGGTGTCCCAGGCAGTGGCTTTACCCGCTATGCCACAACACCAGCCCCCAGGCTCCTGGTTCTGATCCTAGCATTGACTGTTGTGGGCATTTGAGGAGTGAATCAGTCAGTGGGAGCTCATTGTCTCTCAAAGGAAAAAAAAAGGGGTGCGGGAGGTAAGGCCCTGATCCAATAGAATTAGTATCCTGATAGGAAATCAGAGAACTCACACATGCTCTCTCCCTCCCCCTCTCCACACACACACACACACACACACACACACACAAGGCCACGTGAGGACTCAGTGAGAAGGGGATCATGTATCAGTCCAGAAGAGAAACCAGAACCCAACCACACTGGCACCTTGGTCTCAGACTTCTAGCTTCCAGAACTGTGAGAAAATAAACTATTGTTTAAGTCACACAGCCTGAGCTGAGGGTGGTGGTGACACACCTGATTGTGCCGTGAAGACAAATGAAACAGAGAAAGGGAGCAGATATCATTATATAGGATTATCATGGACTGCCTCTCTGATAGGAATATTTAAACAGAGACGTGGGAGTTGGGAAAGAGAGGTTAGGGGTGTATGGAGCATAGCACTTCAGGCAGAAGTAACAGCAAATTCAAAAATCTTGACATCTTTGGGATGTGACAGTAAATACTGAGGAGGACGGTGAGGCTGTAACAGAGCAACCAAAGGTGGGGCAGGGGGAGAGGAAGGAGAGGGGATAAGGCCAGCGGGGTAGCAGAGCCAGGTCACATAGGGCCTCAGAAATGGGTGCTACTCAGACCATGGCCAAGCACAAGTGCCAATCCGCACATTTTACTACAGTTTTTTGAGGAAACAGATACAAAAATCAAGGATTATTTAGGGAATCTTGAAAAAGAACAAAGCTGGTGTACTCAAACTTCCAGATTTCAAAATTTACTATAAAATTACATAATCAAAATAGTGTGATGCTCGAACAAAGATGTATATACCAACGGATAGAGATCCCAACCTAGAGATAGGATTTATTCATCCAAGGTCAGTATGGGGGTTCAGAGCACCCCAAGTGCAGCCCAAAGATTGAGCAAATTTTGCTGATAAAGCAAGGCTGAGTAACGTACCCTACAGAAGGAAGGAAGTGAGGCAAGGAGAGGCAGATGGACTAGGAAGCAAGGGCTCTATTTCCACGTGGCACTTTGTGGTCAGATGTCTGGTGCAGTGTGATAGATTTTATGCTGAAAGTGTGGGATGCTGTGGTCATAGGACTTCCTTTTCTGAGCCCAAATCAGTTTCATTGTAGCTTCCTCTTTTTTTTTTTTTTTATATATTTTATTTTTTTCTGACAGGCAGAGTGGACAGTGAGAGAGAGAAACAGAGAGAAAGGTCTTCCTTTGCTGTTGGTTCACCCTCCAATGGCCGCCGTGGCCGGCGCACTGCGGCCGGCGCACCGCACTGATCTGATGGCAGGAGCCAGGAGCCAGGTGCTTTTCCTGGTCTCCCATGGGGTGCAGGGCCCAAACACCTGGGCCATCCTCCACTGCACTCCCTGGCCACAGCAGAGGGCTGGCCTGGAAGAGGGGCAACCGGGACAGAATCCGGCGCCCCGACCGGGACTAGAACCCGGTGTGCCGGCGCCGCTAGGCGGAGGATTAGCCTAGTGAGCCGCGGCGCCGGCCTCCTCTTTTTTTTTTTCTTTTCCTTCTTTTGGTGGTGGTAGTGTTGTCATCTGAAACCAAACACACGCTAATTCTTTCCTTCCACACCAAGTCAACAGTTGGGCTCTCAAAAAAAATTTTTTTTACTCTCTTCCATCCCATCTTCTCTTTCCAAACACAACCTCATGCCACTCTTTCTAATGCTGAGAACTCCCTTATTGTCCACATCATAGAGAGATCTTTATGGGCCATTTAAATCATGAGCAATGGAAGAAGTATGAACACGAACTTGAATCCTTGTGCATAATTTTTAAACTGGTAGTTTTTAAAGGTAAGATATTGTATATGATAAATATAATATTGTGGTAAAGTTAAAGAAGAGTGCCTGACAAAGACATCACAGGGGCCAGCACTGTAACACACTGAGCTAAGCCATCACTTTGTGACACTGGCATTCCATATCAATGTTCTGGTTTGAATCCCTGTTTTTCTACTTCTGATCCAGTTCCCTGCTCATGCACCTGGGAAAGAAGCAGATGATGATCCAAGTACTCGGATTCTTGCCACCCACATGGGAGACTTGAATGGAATTCTTGGTTTTGGCTTGCCCAGCCGTGGTTGTTGCAGCCATTTGGGGAGTAAACCAGCAAAGGGAAGATCTCTGTCTACTCTCTCTGTGTCACTCTGTCTTTCAAATCAATAAATAAGTAAATCTTTTTTTTTAAAAGACATTACAAAGAAAGAAAACTATAGAACAGTATCTCTTGTAAATATGGATGCAAAAATCCTCAACAAAATACAGCAAACCAAATCCTACGGAATCACTAAAATATATTAGAATTAGTCAGCACATCTGGCAAAATTGTGAGAAATAGGATCAATATACTAGAATCCATTGTATGAAAATATACTTGCAAGGCCACCTCTGTGGCCTTGAAGGTTAAGCTTCTGCCTGCAGTGCCATAATTCCATATAGGTGCTGAGTTGAGTCCCGGGTATTCCACTTCCAATCCAGATTCCTGCTAATATACCTGGGAAAGCAGCAGAAGATGGCCCAAGTGCTTGGGCCCCTGTGCCGATGTGGGAGACCTGGAAGAAGTTCCTGGCTCCTGGCTTCGGCCTGGTCCAGCCCTGGTCATTGCAGCCATTTGGGGAGTAAACTAGCAGATGGAAGATATCTCTCTTCCTTCTCTCTCTCTCTTTCTCTCTCTCTCTCTTCTTCTTTCTCTGTATCTCTGCCTTTCAAATAACATAAATAAATCTTTATTAAAAAAAAGTACCGGGGGGTACATTTAAACAAAAAAAAAAAAAAGAAGAAGGAAATACACTTGCAATAAACATTGTAAAGATTAAAAAATCATCTATAGTAGGAGCAAAAGAATGAAATATTTTAAAAATAAATATTCATTTATGTATTTGAAAGGCAGAGACAGACAGAAAGAAATCAACCTTCCATCTGCTGATTCATTGCCCTAATGGGCTCAAAAGCTGGGGCTGGACCAGAACAAAACCAAGAGTCCAGAGCTCCGTATGAGTTTCCTACATGGGTAGCAGGGGCCCAAGCATTTGAGCTATCCTCTGCTGCCTTCCCAGGCACATTAGCAGGAAACTGAATCATAAGCAGAGCAGCTGAGACTCCAACTAGCACTCATATGGGATGCCTGTGTTGTGGGCAGCACCTAAGCTTCACATACCACAATGCTGGCCCCAGAATGAAATACTTTTAAAGACAACAAAAGGTGAAAAAAACTAACATTCTTGGGGCCAGCGTTGTAATGAAGCAGATGAAGCAGATTAAGCCACTGCTTGTGTCACTGGCATCCCATGCTGGAGTGCCAGTTTCAGTCCCAACTGCTCCGCTTGCAACTCAGCTCCCTGATAATGTGCCTGGAAAAGCAATAGATGATGGTTCAACTCTCTGGGTCCCTGCCACCCATGTGGGAGACTCTGGGAGACTCCACATGGGAATGTCACATTGGAGTTCTCAGTTCCTGTCTTCAGCCTGGCCCAGCCTGGCTGTTGCAGCCACCTGGGGAGTGAACCAGTGGATGGAAGATCTCTCTTGGTGTCTCTCTCTCTCTCTCTCTCTCTCTCTCTGACAATGTGCTTTTCAAATAAATCAGTGAATATATCTTTTTTTTTAAAAAAAAAACTTACATTCCTAAAATTACAAAATATTGTTGAAAGGAACTGAAAAGTAAATGGAATAATATTCTGTGCTCATGTATCTTAATATTGTTAAGATGGTAATTCTCTGTTCATTCATCTACAATGAAATTCTTACAAGACTCTAAGTTGACTTCTTTGTATAAATTGACAACTTCATCTTAAAGTTCCTACGGAATTTCAGCAGACACAAAATACACAAAAAACTTCTTGCGAAAGAACAAAGTTGGGAGATTCACACATCCTTATTTCAAAATGTGTTGTGAAACAATGGTAATCACAACAGGGTGGTACTAGCATAAGGATAAACACAGAGTGTTTGTGTGGTGACTCCACGCCTCTTGCCCCCCCCCCAGAACGAATCATCTCAGAAAAGAAATCAACTGCAACAACAGAGACCAATGGAGTAGAAGTGAGAGTTCAGAAATAAAGCTGTGTGTTTCTAGACAACTGATTTTAACAAGAATGTTTCAATAAGAATACTAATATTTTCAACTAACGGCTTGGGAACACCTGGATATTCACATGCAGATGCGTGATCTTGGATCCTTACTTCAGTTCATAAAAATTTATTCAGCGGCAGGCATTTGGCATAGCAGTTAAGATGGCATGCTGGGCGACCACACCCACCTCAGAGTACCTGGATTTGAGTCCCAGCTCTCCTGATTTCAGCATCCTGCTGACACACACTTTGGGAGGCAGCAGGTGAAGCCTCAAGTAGTGGAGTTCTTGCCACCCACATGGGAGATCTAGATTGAGTTCTGGGCTCCTGGCTTCCTTTAAAAAAAAAGAGAGAACATTGGGGCCAATGTCGTGGTGCAGCGGGTTAAGCAGCTACTTGCATGTCATACTGGAGTATGAGTTGGAGCCCTGGCTGCTCTATTTCCATTTTGGCTCCTTACTGATACACCTGGCAAAGCAGTGAGGATGGCCCAAGTACTTGGACCTCTGCCATTCACTCAGGAGACCCAGATGATATTCCAGGCTCCTGGCTTCAGCCTGGCCCAATCCTGCCCATTGTGACTATTTAGGGAGTGAAACAACAAGTAGATTTCTATCTCTCTGTCATTATGACTTTCAAAAAAATAAAAATAAATAAGAACATATTAAACAGTTATCATACAACTCAGCAATTCCACTAGTATATCCAAGAGAAATAAGAACCTATGTCTACACAAAAGCTTGTATACAAAGCTTGTAGCAGCAATATTCAATATACACCAGAAGTGTGGGGTGGGCCTTCTGTACCGCAGTCAAGCTGCCACTTTGAATTCCACTTCCAATTCCAGCCTCCTGCTAATGCACACCCAGGGAGGCACAAATGATGGCTCAAACCACATGGGTCTATGCTACTTATGTGGGAGATTAAGACTGAGTTCTGGCCGGCGCTGTGGCTCACTAGGCTAATCCTCCGCCTTGTGGCGCCGGCACACCGGGTTCTAGTCCCGGTCGGGGCACCAGATTCTGTCCCGGTTTCCCCTCTTCCAGGCCAGCTCTCTGCTGTGGCCCGGGAGTGCAGTGGAGGATGGCCCAAATGCTTGGGCCCTGCACCCCATGGGAGACCAGGAGAAGCACTTGGTTCCTGCCTTTGGATCAGCGCGGTGCGCTGGCCGCAGCGCACCGGCCGCGCCGGCCATTGGAAGGTGAACCAACGGCAAAAGGAAGACCTTTCTCTCTGTCTCTTTCTCTCACTGTCCACTCTGCCTGTCCAAAAAAAAAAAAAAAAAAAAGATTGAGTTCTGGGCTCCTGGCTTCAGCCTGGCCCAGCCCTGGCTGTTGCTGGCATTTGGGGAGTAAACAGCAGATGAACAGCAGATCTCTGTCTCTTTATCTCTGCTTGTCACCCTGCCTTTCAGAAAATACAGTGAGAATAAATAAAAAATATTCTAAAATATTCATAACAGCTAAAAGTGGAAACAACCCAAATGTCCATCAGCTGAAGCGTGGGTAAGCAAAATGTATACCTATCAATGGGTAACAAAGAACTTTTGTTCCTGGGAGGTTGTGACTGTCTCTTTGGCTCTTCAGATTTATATCTCTCCCTATAATAAAACTATAATCACTAAGTGTAGCACAGTTTTTAATTCTACCAGTTATTCTAGTGAATTATTGACAGAAGGAGGTACTAAGAACCTCCAAGTTTCTTTCTGCTGACCACAAGTGAGGTTACCCTGGAAACCCCCATGCTCACAGCTAGTATCCAAAGTGAGGGCAATCTTGTGGAGGGCTCTGCCCATAATCTGTGAGATTTAGTCCAACCCTGCACAGTTGGTGTCAGAAGTCACTGCAGAGGTAACAGGAGAAATGAAATTTGCTACAACAACCCTGGCTCACTGAGCTACAGTAGTCTCCCTGACTTATCTGCAGGAGATCCAGTCCAAGGTCCCCAGTGGATACCTAAAACCAGATAGCAGCGCATCCAATATACACTTGACAGTCCATCTGATAAGCCTAATGACTACTAGAGTAAGGGTGGATCGTATAGACACACAGTGTGGATGAGAAAGTAGTGATTCATATACCATCAGGCTGTGGTGGGATATCACAAGATTTCTTCACACTACCCCGAACAGAGCACAATTTAAAGCTTACAAAAGTGAGTGAGCACTGTGGTGCGTTCTGTCACTGCTGTTTGGGACACTGGAATCCAGTCCCACCTCTGCTTCCCATTCAACTTCCTTCTCATACTCACCTGAGAGGCAGCAGGTAATGGCCCAAGTACTTGGATTCCTGTCACTCACATAGGAGACATGAAGGAAGCTCCAAACTGCTGGCTTCAGCCTGGCCCAGCCCCAACTATTGCACAGCGGGGGAGTGAATCAGCAGATGGAAGATTTCTCTCTCTCTCTCTCTCTGACTCTCACTCTCTCTGTCTCTCTGCCTTTCAAATAAATAAAATAAAAAAAAAAAAGAAGAAGAACAAAAAGACTGGCAAAACAAAGTATGTGTTTTTTCCATTTATGAATTGTTTATTTTTGGATTTTCCATTTCATATTTTCGGGCCATGGTTGACTGTGAGTAACTGAAACTGCAGACAAAGGGCAACTACTGAATGTGGTTCGTGAAAGGGTGGAGAAGGGGGAAGTTGATTCCTGAGGAGGTGGCCACAGGGTTACTCAGGGCATGGAGAACAGCTCCCATCTGTAGTGGTTACTGCAGATAAATGTTACCAGTGGAATTCAGAAATGATTGATCAAATACCTGGCAGTGGAGGCATAAGGAACTGTAAACTAACAACCTAAATAATAGCAATCAACAATCAGAGAGAGACTCTCTAAAGATAATAATATTTTCAGGAATAGCAGAGCATTGCAATGGGAATAAGTATGTCACAATAAAATGTCTTTTTTAAAAAGATTATTTATTTGAAAGTCAGAGCTACAAAGAGAGAGAAGGAGAGGCAGAGAGAGAGGATCTCCATCTGCCGGTTCACTTCCCAGTTGGCCACAGTGGTTGGAGTTGAGCCGATCTGAAGCCAGGAGCCAGGAGCCAGGAGCTTCTTCCAGGTGTCCCACACGTGTGCAGGGGCTCAAGGACTTGGGTCATCTTCCACTGCCTTTCCAGGCCATAGCAGAGAGTTGGATTGGAAGAGGAGCAGCTGGGACTCAAACCAACACCCATATAGGATGCTGGCACTGCAGACGGCGGCTTTACCCTCTATGCCACAGTGCTGGCCCCAGAATAAACTATCAACATAGTAAAAAAAAAAAGTTGAAGGAATGGGAAGTTTTTTTTTTTTTAATTTATTTACTTATTTGAAAGGAAAAGCATCAGAGAGAGAGAGAGAAAGTGAGAGAGAGAGAGAGAAAGATCTTCCATCTGCTGGTGTTCACTTCAAATTGTCCACAACAAAAAGGCCAGGCTAACAGCAGGAACCAGGAAATCCATCCGAGTCTCCCACATGGTTGGCAGAGCCCACAGTACTTGCACTATCACCTGCTGCCTCCCAGGCATGCATTACTAGGAAGCTGGACTGGAAGCATGGAGTAGCCAGGACTGGAACCAGGCACTTTGACATGGGAAACGGGCCTCCCAACTGGCAGCTTAACCTGCTATGCCACAATGCCCACCCCAAAGGAAAGATTTTAAAGGCAAAAATGAGGAGGATTACATCAGATATTTTGAAACAGTGATTTTTGGCTACAACGATTAATAACCAGAGTGGAGTCAGCCTCAGGTTGAGCCAACAGCCGCCAGGCAGATGTCTGTGTATAAAGCTGTGGTAATGGCTGTAATGTTGAAGTCCTGGCAGAGTCTTTTGTGATAGTCATCATCAGAACATTATGTATAAGAATCCTTTCTTCACAGCCTCCAGGCTTTATTTATAATTATTTTTGTTTGGACTGACATAAGCAACTCCATTTGAATTCTGACAACTTTCACAATATCATCCTTCTGCTATTGTTATCTGTAAAATCTAAAATGATAATAAAATGGGAGCCAGGCTGACATGGTGGCCTTTCTGAGCAGTAGTCTCAAGTCTCGGGATCCTACCACAGGATGGTTTTGGGGAAGGTCGCAATGCTGGGCCATAGACTCTGGCTTGCAGAGAGACACGTTAGCCCCAGGCTGTTTCCAAAGGGGGCCATTATGTTGAAACTGATAGGGGACTATGACAGCTTCCCAAATGGCAGCCTAACCCACCATATCACAGTGCTGTCCTCTAAAAATCATTGATTTACTTATTTCCATTTTGTTTGAAAGTCAGACGAAGAGACACACAGACAAAGAGAGACACAGAGATAGACAAAGATCTTCCATCTACTGGTTTACCCCCCAAATGCCTGTACCAGACAGGGCTGGGCCAGGCTGAATCCAGGAGCCCAGGTCTTATTCTGGGTCTCCTACGTGGAGAGCAGGGACCCAATCACTTGAGTCGTCATCTGCTGCCTCTTGGGGTGCACATTAGCAGGAAGCTGGACTGGAGGCAGAGGAGTTGGGCCTTGAACCAGGCGCTCCCACACAGGATGTGAACATCTCAAGCAGTGTCTTAACTGCTGCCCCAGACTCCTGCCCCTCAACTTTTACATGTGTGTGAGTGTGTATGTGTGTATTTTTTCAAATTGTGTGAGCTTGGACTGCCTTTTCTTTTTTCTTTTTTTTTTTTTTTTTAAAGAAAAGATTTATTTTAGCTGGCGCCGCAGCTCACTGGGCTAATCCTCCACTTTGCGGCACCAGCACACCGGGTTCTAGTCCTGGTCGGGGCGCCGGATTCTGTCCCGGTTGCCCCTCTTCCAGGCCAGCTCTCTGCTGTGGCCCGGGAGTGCAGTGGAGGATGGCCCAAGTACTTGGGCCCTGCACCCCATGGGAGACCAGGGTAAGTACCTGGCTCCTGCCATTGGATCAGCGCGGTGCGCTGGCCGCAGCGCGCCGGCCGCGCCGGCCATTGGAAGGTGAACCAGCGGCAAAGGAAGACCTTTCTCTCTGTCTCTCTCTCTCACTGTCCACTCTGCCTGTCAAAAAAGAAAAAAAAAAAAAAAAAAAAAAGAATTGCAGCAGCCAGGTCTCCTCCTGGTGTCCATATTAAAAAAAAAAAAAAAAGATTTATTTTGAAAGTCAGAGTTTCAGAGAGAGAGAGAGAAAGGAGAGAGATATCTTCCATTCACCAGTTTACTCCTAAGATGGCTGCAGCGACCAGTACTGGGCCAGGCTGAAGCCAGGAGTTAGGAGCTTCATTTGGGTCTACCATATGGGTGGCAGGCACCCAAGCACCTAGACCATTAGCAGGGAACTGCATCAGAAGTGGGGCAGTTGGGACATGATCCTGTGCCTACTTCTGATGCAGTTAGGGAGTAAACCAGAGAATGGAAAAATCTCTCCCGTCCCCATCACTCTGCCTTTCAAATAGATAAATACATATATCATTAAAATTTTTGATTAAGTAAGTATAACAAGCTAAAGTGCCAGTCATTACAAATTCTCTGTAACTGAAAGATAAAACATAATCTTAACATGAACCATCCACAATATTTTGAGTGATAATAGAAGAAACTCCGTAACTGGAAGAAAAGCTTCCAGGAGCGTTCCATAGCAAAATGCAAATGGTTTGTGCAGGAACATACTACCAGGGGATGGAGGGGATAACGTACTCACCACATTCCCAAGCAGACAGACGTCCCCCCGAACCTGTGCTTCCCCTGAGGAGCTGCCAGATTCACAAGGCGTCTGGACAGTGTCCTTTGAACCATCGCGTTGACTATAAAGGAGTTAGTTGGGTTACAGTGGCAGCTGCAGGGTGAATATATGGCATCTTGTTTGAAAAGCCACCATGATGATCTAGGAGGGTGAAACACATTAGCTCGGCAGGCTGCTGTGTATGCTGGTTGCTCCTGGGGTTTCCTCACCTCATGAGTGCTGGACAGCATCCTGGTCCTTAGGGTCAGACAGAAAGACAAGGAAAACTGGCCAATTCAAAGGGTGCCCTACAGGAATTTGAGGCATGCATGAAAATAGGAAACGCTGATACCCAACAGAGCTGCCTTTTAGGACTGGAAAATGGTTAGAGTCAGTGAGTGAAGTTCCCACTGTGCTTCCTTTAGGTGGCCATCTGAGTCCAGGAAATGAGTGGACATAGGGTCCTGCAGTAATTCAAGCATTCTCTTGCACTCTTGAGGCACAAATGCTAATAATAACTGTTCTGTCTGACAGTAAGACAGTCACTGCAGGAGGCTCTGGGGCAGAGTCTCCAAAGGGAAGCCTTCACACAGAGCTGAACCAATGCTGGTAGCCCTGAGCGACCACAAATGGTTCCTAACAGGAACAGACAGCCTAGCCTCGACTGTTATGAGCATTTGGGAAATGAACCAGCAGACGGGTGATTTCTCTCTCTCTCCCTTTCAAATAAATATTTTTTTAAAAAATATATACTGAAATAATTACAGATAAAATCGAAGAATGTCTGAGATTTGCTCCAAAATAATCCCCTGGGATTGTGGAAGGGAAGAGAGGAAAGGAGACTGGCCACAGGAGCTCACTGCTGGAGCTGGGTATCACAGGTTATTACACTAGTCTCTCCACCGTGAAATATGTTTCAAAGTTTTCAAAAAAGAAAAAAGAAGGAATCGATGTTTTGACTCAGAAAAGAAGGAACTGTCACTTCCCTTAATGTAACTGCTCAGAGGCCTCCTCCCCTTCCAGAGTCCCGAAGTGAATTATTGAGAGTAATCCGAGAGGCATGGAAGCCATGGAGCGCGGAGAGGCCATGAGTGCAACCCTCACCTCAGTGTCCCTCTCACCCTACAGGCCAAGCTGACTGTGTGGTGGTAGAAGTGCAGCTGGGTGGAACCAAGTGAGAAGGTCCTATATTAAGCAGGGTTCTCCAGGGAAGCAAAGCTACTAAGATATGTACATACACATGTGTAAAAAGAGATTTGCTATAAGGAATTGGCTCATGCAATTATGGCTGCTTACAAATCCAAAATCTGCAGGGTGAGCCAGAAAGCTCGACACCCAGGAGAGTCCAAGCTATAGTTCCCCAGCCGAGGCAGTCAGAGCTGATGCTGCAGACGAAAGCTAAAAGCTGTCTGCTAGACAGAATCTTGGCTCAGGGTCTTTTTGTTACATCTGGGCCTTCAAATGCTTGGATAAAGCCTACCCACATTGCTGAGGGAAATCTACCTTACTCAACATTCATCAATTTCGACATTAGGGGCCAGTGCCATGGCGCACTAGGTTAATCCTCCACCTGCGGCGCAGGCATCCCATATGGGCGCAGGGTTCTAGTGCCAGTTGCTCCTCTTCCAGTCCAGCTCTCTGCTGTGGCCCAGGAAGGCAGTGGAGGATGGCCCAAGTGCTTGGGCCCCTGCACCCGCATGGGAGACTGGGAAGAGGCACCAGGCTCCTGGCTTCAGATCGGTGTAGCTCCAGCCATTGTGGCCATTTGGGTAGTGGACCAGCATATGGAAGACCTTTCTGTCTGTCTGTCTCTCTCTCTCTCTCTAACTCTACCTGTCAAATAAATAAATAAATAAAAATATGCATCTGTCAACGTTAAAAAAATTTCGACATTAATGTCATTCAAAACAACCTTACAGAAATACCTAGAATAACGCTTGACTAAATATCTGGGCCTCCTGTGACTCAGCCAAATTGACACATAAAATAAACTATTACTTTCCCTCCACACACACACATTCCTTCTTCTCTCAGGGAGTACATCCCAGGAGAAAGGGAACAGAGGCACAGGGTGCAGGCAGGATTTAGGGATCCTAGCCCTTGGTTTCCCTCATAACCGTTGATATGAAGGCCACTTTTCCTGGGAAGGCCTGGAGCCACACACTCCTTCTGATGGGGCCCAACTGAGTTCTCTGAAAATAGGCCCAGAGCCTCAGAGTCCTATATTGAGCCTGAAGACAAATGCCCCTAAAAAGCCAGCAAGGCAGGCAAGAGAAACACATGCTGAGACCCGTGCACAGATGGTCAGACGGAGCTATTAATCTTACTTGCCAGGTGGAGCACTCTGGATGCTTCAAAGGGTCCCTTGGTTGTGGTCCCTCTTCCACACCATCCTTCATTGTACCATTTCCAAGAAGGGTAATGGAGGTGGCAGCAAAGTGAGCAAACTGGGAGAAAGACAGGTTGGGCAGGGACCACGTTTTACTGGAGAAGGGAACAAGGTGGGTTATATAAGGATTATATAAGCTCTTAGAAACACCTAAAGATTTGGGATACATCAATGTAGGCAGCCTGGAAGCCAGTGAGTGCGACTGTATGAGAAAGAAGCTGAAGCCCTTCTGCTCCCAAAATTTCAGGTGTTGGAATTTAACTCTCAAATCCACATGAATGGTACTTGGGGTTGGACCTTTAGGAGGTAATTAGGGTTAGATGAGGTCATGAGGCGCAGCCCCTGTAACAGCAGTAGTGACTCTATAAGAAGAGATGCAGCTAGCACAATGCTCTGTCTCTCCTCGTGGTGCCCTCCACTGTGTGATGATGCACCAAGAAGGCCCTGGCCAGATGCCAAGCAGATGCTGGTGCTATGCTCTGGGACATCTCAGTCCCCAGAACTGTGAACCAAATAGATGTCTATTCTCTATCAATTACCTGTATTTTTTTTTATCTTTTATTTAATGAATATAAATTTCCAAAGTACGACTCATGTGTTACAATGGCTTCCCCCCCCATACCGTCCCTCCCACCCACAACCCTCCCCTTTCCCACTCCCTCTCCCCTTCCATTCACATCAAGATTCATTTTTGATTATCTTAATATACAGAAGATCAGCTTAGTATACCTTAAGTAAGTATTTCAACAGTTTGCTCCCACACAGAAACATAAAGTGAAAAATAATAGATGATTTTTTTTAAATGATGATGAAATCAGATCAGACCTATTGTCATGTTTAATCCCAGTGAGAGTCAAGTTGGGAATTGATAATTTCTTTTTTTTTTTTTTCAATTACCTGTATTTTTAAAAATGCTGCCTTCTAATATTAGACTCAAAGGACATAAAATTACATATAAGTAAACCTTCAAAATGTTTCAAGTAAGCAGTTCTGGGGCCGGCGCTGTGGTGCAGCAGGTTGAAGTCCTGGCCTGAAGCACTGGCATCCCATGTGGGCGCCAGTTCGAGACCCGGCTGCTCCTCTTCCAATCGGCTCTCTAATGTGGCCTGGGAGAGTAGTAGAGGATGGCCCAGGTCCTTGGGCCCCTGAACCCACGTGGGAGATCCAGAGGAGGCTCCTGGCTCCTGGCTTCAGATTGGTGCAGCTCTGGCCATTGTGGCTATCTGGGGAGTGAAGCAGCGGATGGAAGACCTCTCTCTGTCTCTACCTCTCTCTGTAACTCTATCTTTCAAATAAATAAAATAAAATCTTTTAAAAAAAGTAAACAGATCCATCAATTTATTCTGTAAATATATAGCTACATTTATATTAATTTTTGAAGAGTCTATATTTATATACTCTTGAATTATAATTGACAAGCTATCAAACATAGGAAAAAGTAAATTAAGCTTTTAAAACTGTACACATTGGCCGGTGCCGCGGCTCACTAGGCTAATCCTCCGCCTTGCGGTGCTGGCACACCGGGTTCTAGTCTCGGTCAGGGCGCCGGATTCTGTCCCGGTTGCCCCTCTTCCAGGTCAGCTCTCTGCTATGGCCCGGGAGTGCAGTGGAGGATGGCCAAGTGCTTGGGCCCTGCACCCCATGGGAGACCAGGATAAGTACCTGGCTCCTGCCATTGGATCAGCGCGGTGTGCTGGCTGCAGCGCGCCGGCTGCAGCGGCCATTGGAGGGTGAACCAACGGCAAAGGAAGACCTTTCTCTCTGTTTCTCTCTCTCTCACTGTCCACTCTGCCTGTCAAAAAAAAAAAAAAACAAAAAACAAAAAAAAAACCCTGTACACATTGTTCACTAAAAATACCTATAGAGATGAATAATAGAGAAAATCGCTGTTAGGATAATTTTTGTAATTCTGCAATCATAACATGAAATTATGAATGGAATATGACTTCCACAATATTGTTACGGCAATAGAAAATGAACTAAGATACTTTCTTGGCTTACCCTGGAGGAACAGAAGCAAGAGGAAGCTTCAGCCATGGTGACTAGACAGCCCGAGAGGTAAACAAGGCTACCCAGGAAGCTCAAGCATGGGCTGGGGTAATCCAGGAAACTCAGGCTAGCACAGCCACCCTGACCTCAAGTTTCTTCCTAGCATTGCCTGCTCTGTCTGTGGCTGCTGCCAGCACTGTGGCACAAGCACACTCACTTCCCGTTACCTGCAAAAAGCTACCCATTCCTAGTGCTTGTAAAATAGACCCAGACTGTGGCTCTGTACCTGCTGGGGCCTCAGCTCTCCAGGATCTGAAGACTGGCATTGCAGAGATGCAGAGCCATAGTGGTGTGTGTACTTCGCTGTTTGTGGCTGGTGTACCACCCCAGCACCTGGATCTCAGCCAGAACAGGCTGCATGTCACCACACACCTCAGCACTTCCAAGTGACTGGGGCATGGCCCTGACCCCTTTCAACCTGTCCTTTGCCCAGGTGTGCTGTAGACTACTTGTGACACTCCAGAATTTGTGTATTGAAATCCCTACTCCCAGAGTGATGGTTTAGGAGGCGGGTCCTTGGGGAGAGATTAGGTCATAGAAGCTATACTCTCATGAATGGAATACGTGTTTTACAAAGAGACCCAGGGGTGGCTGTTTTGGTGCAACGGGTTAAGGCACCGCTTGGGACATTGCATCCTGTATCTGAGTGCTGGTTCCGGCTACTCAGTGCTTCTGACTCAACTTCCTGCTAATGCAAGAAATTGGAGCCAACAGAGGATGGCTCAAATGCTTGAGCCTCTGTCACCCACACGGGAGACTCAATAAATTGAGTCTGGCTTCAGCCTAGCCCAGCCCTGACTGTTGCAGGCATTCAAGGAATGAGTCATCAGATGAAAGACAGCTCTTTCTCGCTGTCACTCTGCCTTTCAAATAGATGAAAACACACATTTAAAAAGTTAAAAATAGGCAGTATTTGAACAAACTTTTCTGAACAATAAAGCACTGAACAACAGTGCTTTATTGATACAAAGGTTAGTTTAAATGGATACAAAATTGCTGTGTAAAGTATGTGTTTTCAAAATACATTTCTGTAAGTAGAAATTCTCTTAGTAAAAGAGCAATTATCTAGTAGCAAAGGTGTATGTTTAGGTCTGGGGAGCACAAGGGACATGGTCACTGGTCAGAGCAGCCCTCCCACCTGCGTCCTGTGGCCGCCTGTCCCGCAAGCACTCACGTGACACACAGGGACACACACAGAGTTCGACACTCACCACCTGCAAATCCTTTTTCCCCCTAGAGCTTTCTCCTGCAGAATTAACCCCATGGATGCACTCAGAAGTCACGGAACACATTTTCTGTAAAAATGTCTCGCACAGACTCAACATCCAGCTGTGGACTCTCACAGTGATGCAGCAGGAAGGGGCAAAGCTGGGGAGAGTCAGGCCGTCACTGTATATGTTACATGTTTATACACACACACACACACACACACAAACACACACACATAGGGGTCCATGCTATGGCAGAGAAGATTAAGCCTCTGCCTGTAGGGCCAGCATTCCACATGGGCGCTGGTTTGGGTCCCAGCTGCTCCACTTTTGATCCAGCTCCCTGTAATTGTGCCTGGGAAAGCAGAGGAAGCTGGCCCAAGGGCTTGGGCCCCTGCACCCATGTGGGAGACCCGGAAGAGGCTCCAGGATCCTGGCTTCAGGTTGGTCCAGTTGAGGCCATTTGGGAGAGAACCAGCAGATGAAAAAATCTCTCTCTCTCTCTGCCTCTCTATTTCTGCCTTTCAAATAAATAAATAAATAAATCTTTTTTAAAAAAAGTGAAAAGATTCTAAGCATGACTGGTAATTAAGGAAATGCAAATCAAATGAGTTATACTGCTTCACACTCACTAGGATAGCTAGAATCCAAAAAAGAAAAAAAAATAAGCATCAGGGACAATATGTAGAAAATGGAAATCTAGTACTTGCTTATGGGAATATAAAATGGTGTAGTACTCTGGGAAACAGTATGACAGTTTTTCTAAAAATTAAACAGATTTGTCACATGACCCAGCAATTCCACTTCTAGTTGTACAACCAGAAGATTTGAAAAGAGGTATTCAGAGGCTGGCACTGTGGCGCAGGGGGTTAATCCTCCACCTGTGGCGCTGGTTCTAGTCCTGGCCACCCCTCTTCCAATCCAGCTCTCTGCTGTGACCTGGGAAAGTGGTGGAAGATGGCCCAGGTCCTTGTGTCCCTGCACCTGCATGGGAGACCCAGAAGAAGTTCTTGGCTCCTGGCTCCTTGCTTCAGATTAGCATAGCTCTGGCCTTTGTGGCCATCTGGGGAGTGAACCAATGGAGGGAAGACCTTTCTCTCTGTCTCTCCCTCTCACTGTCTGTAACTACCTTTCAAATAAAAGAAATAAAATCTTTTAAAAAAAGAGATATTCAGGCCAGCGCCACGGCTCACTAGGCTAATCCTCCGCCTTGCGGCGCCGGCACACCGGGTTCTAGTCCCAGTCGGGGCACCGGATTCTGTCCTGGTTGCCCCTCTTCCAGGCCAGCTCTCTGCTGTGGCCAGGGAGTGCAGTGGAGGATGGCCAAGTGCTTGGGCCCTGCACCCCATGGGAGACCAGGAGAAGTACCTGGCTCCTGCCATCGGATCAGCGTGGTGTGCCGGCCGCAGCACACTGGCCGTGGCGGCCATTGGAGGGTGAACCAACGGCAAAGGAAGACCTTTCTCTCTGTCTCTCTCTCTGTCCACTCTGCCTGTCCAAAAAAAAAAAAAAAAAAAAAAAGATGTGGAAAACAATAAAAATGTTTAAAAAAGAGATATTCAAACAAACAATTTTACACCAATGCTCAAAGCAACACCAATCACAGCAGTCAAAAAGTGAAAACAATTTAAATCCCTGGATAAACAAAATGCCTTATAACTATGCAATGGAATAGTATTCCATAAATACCATAGCTGTAGAAAGAAATGAACCTTGAAAACTGGACACAGAAGGTCACATATTGTATGATTCCATTGCTACAAAATACCCACCAGAAGTAAATCTACAGAGACAGAAAGTC